TGGCCAAGGGCTCTGCCCAAGTTACAGTCTTGGCAAAGCTTCTGAGGACCGCAGTAAATCAAAAGAGACCAGGTCTCTTCCAACGGCAGCTCATCTTTCACAATGTCCACCAGGGAGGACATCTAATCTCTTAGATTCAGGCAGACTCTTAAGAGATGGAGCAGGAACCTCTCCTAGCAGGAGGTATTTTGGATTTACAGCAATTTTTCTCAGTTATATATCTGGTTCCTGAAGGAAAGGGCTGCACCTGCCATTTCAGACTGTTAGGCTATATAAAGGCTGGGTATTTGATCTCTGGTTGATTCAGACTCTACTGCTTTTGGCAGGGGAAAGGAATGCCGGCCCAAACAAAAGGTTATCAACCTCTGCATCAAACAGTGCCGTCAACCTAAAAGACCATGAACTGCTTAGAGGGGAAAGAACCACGGCCTCAACTTCTGTCCTTCAACCATCAGCCCTGCAAGATCGCAAACGACAACCTGCAAAGTCAACAAACGGCTGGAGCCCTTTCCCTTGCAATTCTTTCCCTGCTCAAGGCCAGAGCCACAACAGCACCCTCCGTGTTGCTACGGGGGAGGCCTTTCTAACCACAGACCTCATTCAGCACCTGGAAGAAAAGGGGGGCCTTGATCAGCAGAGGGTTCCTATGTCACCTCTGAAAGAAAAAAACAATGGCTGGCAAAGAGAAAAAAGTCCCACTTTGTTTTCTCAGAGTAGCCAAAGCTTTAAAATAATTTCAAGCCAAAGAACTAATGCAGGGAAAAGGCGCAGACCCCCTTGTACAGACACTACTTTCGTGAACTCCTGTGACTCTGAAAATATGGAACCTGAACTGGAAGAAAACACACCAGAAGCAGCATTTTTGAGGCATTTCAACCGAACTGCATCTGGATTCTGCACGAAGCACAAGAACGCCACCAGCAGTGGCGAGAAAGGCTCTGAGAACAGCTCCCCAGCTCCAACGCAGCCGCTGTTCACACAGGACTCTGAGGGTCACAAAGTAATTTTGCACCGCTTTTGGGATGAACGAGGCAAACCGTCTTCGCAAAAGGAGCCTTGGTGGGGCAAAAGCAGCCCCACAAGAAGCTCCTTCTACAAGGGCTGCTTTGAAGATTGTTGCTCTGGAGAGAGAAGCCCCTCCAGGGCTCTGGGCGCGAGCTTTCCTCTTCTGACAGACTGTAGTGAAAAGTCATGTTATGACTTGCTATTCTCAGAGGATTCAGAAGGCAATAAAGTCATTAAACACTAAATCATAATTGCTCTGTGAGATAAATGTGCTCAGTGCCTACTTACAAAACAAACCTGGCTTAAAGGGCCCCTGTATATATTGCCTATGGCTGCACATACTTAACCTGTTTTGTTCAACATGCTTTCTTCGCTGTGTGAGCTAATAAAAGAAATGGAATCATGCAATCTCAATCCTGTTGTTCTAGGAAGGTGTTAGGCTGCTCTAGAATTTATTCTGCAGTGAGATGAGATTCAACTAGCTTTCATTCAGATAGCTTATGTTCGGCTAAGATGGGCCTAAGCCAGACCCATCAGCGACAGCACCGCTTAAGAGTTGGTATTGCTGACCAGTCCTCGCTGCTTCTAACAGAGGGCCTGGGGAAAGGATTTTTAAAAAAACAACAGATCTGCCAGGTTGCATAGCTGGTGAACCTCACCCCATGCAACTTCAGCAAGATCCAGCCTGCAGGGACGGATCTACTCCCCTTAGGCCACTGGAGGTCTTTTGGACCAGAACACCAGTTCGTATGTTTACAAAGAATTCCATCCGAGTCTGGACTGAAATCAGTTGTTCTAAAATGATGAGAATCTGATGCCCTCCAGATGCTTTGGATTCAAATGCCAAGCAGCCGGGACCCCAGGCTAATGGCTAATGCTTTTGGGAATTGTAGCCCAAAATGACTGGAAGGGATCAGGTTGTCTACATCTGGCTTTACAGTAGCTTTAAATAATTGGATAGAATATCAATATTAAAGGTGAAAAAAGGGAGAAGAATGGGTGAAGTGGAAACTTGTTCTGTGCTACATGGGAAACTGAGAGTGATGTAAATTCCCTGAGGGTTGAAGTCAGTGATTTAAACCAACATGGTCCCCCTAGATAACAGTGGCAGCATCAGAAACAATCATGCTACAATTGCTGCTGACAAAGGACCAGCCAGTGCTCAAAAGGCTTTTAAAATACTGCAAAAACTTTCCACACTTTTGCACTTCTACAAATTGCCAGGAGGTTCTGAGAGGTTATTATTAGTGGTAATACTTTTAAGCATGCAGACAAGCAGTAGAAAAGACTTGCTTCCACTTGCTTAGAAACGCCATGGCCTAATGCTACACAAAAGAATCAAAGGAGTATTTTGCAAATTGTGAGGGGCTGCTTCGGGGGTCCTTGGGTCACAGATGCTTCATAAAATCCCAACTGAGATGCCCACAGATGTACGTGAAGACAACCTGCAAACACCATTAAAGCAGTTGTGCCTCAACACTTTATGAATGCTCTGTGCCAAAACTTTGCCAAGCCCATCTCCAAAGTAGGGTTTTAAGCAACTTTCTCACAATGCTAGCACAACAAACCAAGCCTCTCTTGGATTGTGCTGACCCTCACCAGCAGTGCTAAAGTATCTTATCAAATTCACAAGGTATTTGGTGTCCTTCCACTGGAAACGTGACTGTGTTGTTCTTCCACTTGTGTTAATTCAATCTGCTGGACCCTGAGCTTAAAGCAAGGAACAAAGGATGAAGACACTGTTTTGTCTCAACAAGCAAAAAAGGAAAGGGGAATTTTAGCTTTAAAGAGCTGAATTATAGGACTGGGTGGCAGCCTGAATTCAAAGGGGTAAAGATCCTTTGGAGTGCACTTGTCACATGCCCCAGCAACTGTGCAGATGTATTTGATTTAAGGAGATGTTGACTGGTGGACTCCAAATATTTCAAATCTGTCCTGTGCTGCACAGCCTTAGTCCATCAACAGCAACCAGGTTTTAAATTCAATGCTTACTTTAGGCATTTCATTTCCATCTTTAGTCAATTACACTTCTGTTGTTAGAAGAATGTCAGTTGTGGGGGAAAGGCTGCAGAAAAGAAGTATTGTTCAAAAAACTACCTTTACAAAAAGAAATCTTGGGAATCCAACAGTTTAGGTATTCACAGGCTTCAGATTTGCAGGAAGATTACGAAGAGAGAATTTTTTTTTAACGAAAATCACCACTGTCAGCCACTGGCAATTTCCACTTTATAAGAATCCGTACCCACTGCTTCAGTTCAAAATGTGGAAAACTTTACCTTTTAAAAAAAGTTGAATCGCTTAGCTGTGTGGAAAAAAACCAGCAAAATGTCAGTTTCTCTCATATAGTGTGTTCCTTTTGCATATAAACACACAGGAAGCCTAATCCCTAAAGGACATTTAATGTTCAAGGAAGGCAGCCACTGTAGAGAAAAATCTTGGGAGCTTAGTAATATAGATAATAAATGAGCATAGCCATCAGTTCTTTTTCATATTTACATCTTCATCTTTCAAAGCAAATTTCCTTCTTAAAACTTCTGCTATAAGAATTGCAGGATCCTCTTCTTTCAGTAAACTTCTGTTCCTAAAAGGAAGATACAAGATGAAGGATGTGAGACAGCATGGGCAGATTTTCACAAGCTGCAATTGTCCCTGTATTATTTACCAACGTTCTAAAATATTTTCCTGCTGCAAATAAAACTAAAACTGGGGGTTAGGAAGGATGCCTTGAACTCCTGAAGGAAAGGGAGTAAGAGAGAGGCACAAGCTGCTGCCATCTGGTGGCTGTCCAGATTGGTGTTGGTTAGATACGGCATCCTTAGTGTTACAACTGGGATGACGAGAGTGGCCATGTGCACACCTGGAGACGAGCCAGATTTTGGAAAGCTGTTTTATTCTGTGTCGGGTGGTTGATTAACAATAGTCAAGGCATCCTTGCTGGTTCTAGGAAGGGTAGTTCCAAAAGGCTAGGATGAAACAAATGAATAATGGGAAGCATCTCATCTCAATCCACAGGGCCACAATGGATCCTCAGAAGAGCCACAAGGACTTAATCTAGATCAGAGGTCTTTGGCTCACATTGCCTAGGACTGGTTCATTAGCCAGAGAGCCGCAACATTAAAGTCTTTTCCACCAATACAAAAGTGAGTAAAAAACGAAGTGTGTCATGGAACCCCATTAACCAATTTATTAATTAAAAAAATACTGGAAAACACTTTGGCTGCTGAACTGGCAGCATTTTTCATTAACCAATCAAATTTGATTTTATTACCAGGGTAGTTTATTTTTTTCAAGATCATAGCTAAGATGATATGATCTATAAACCCCATCCTACGAAGGGCTGTTCAAATCCTGATTAGATATTTATTTCTTTTGGCTTGTTCTCGTTAGCTTTCCCTTCCCTTCTCCCTCCTTGCCTGAAACAATCTATCTTGCCTTCCTTTCATTGCCTAGCAGAGATCTCTGCTCTCCCCACGTCATCCCGGGCCAAGCCTTGCTGCCCCTGCTCCAAGAATCAGGTGTGCTGCCCACCATGGAGTGGAAGATGAGTGGGAAGGGGCTCCTGGAGAGTGGGGCTGCTCAGCACAAGGGGCCTCAGTGCCAATTGTGTAGTCTGGCCAACCAAGTCCAACTCTTCCCCAGAGATCCACTGGATCAGGCTGAAGCAAGCCCCCGGGGCTCCCAAAAATAAATATTTATTTATGGTCAGTGGCCATAAAAGATACATTGCTCTAAAATCAAAACATAAAACATTAAGATGAAAGCATCCATATGGTTCAAAAAAAGCTATATAATCCCATGGCAAACTACAATGAGTTTCCTGAAGATCAACATGACTTATCTGCTAAATGGCTAGCAATAAGGTCTTCTGCTGAGTTGTCACGAGTAAGGGCATAAGGAGATCTCTGTTCCGGATTGAATAAAATGGGCAATGGAGAAGCTCATGACCAACTAATTCAATCTCCCCAAGCAGGCACAGATAGACTTTTTTGCAGAGGAATGCCATGAAATTCCCCTTCTAACAGGGATGAAGGCAGCACATCAAACCAAGCTAATGTGAAACTCTCCTTTTGTAGTAGTTGAAGGATGTAGGCAACGGCTGCTGGAAAGGGTCTTCTGAATAAACCTGAACTATACAATTCTGAGAGCCAGTTTGGTCTAGTGGTGAAGGTACCAGGCTAGAAACCAGGAAACTGTGAGTTCTAGTCCCACCTTAGGCCCAAAGCCAGCTGGGTGACTTAGAGCCAGTTGTTCTCTTTCAGCCTTTGCCTTCGGAAGACAAGGGCAAGCCACTTGAAAATGTTGCCTAGAAAACTGCATGGAGCTGTGCATGTAGTAGCCAGGAGTCAAAACTAACTCAAGGCCCCAACATTTTTTCAAAAATGGCTGCCCAGCAGATCCTTCTGAAGATCTTGGTTTACACCCTGCTGTTTTGGGGTCAAGGCCAACTGGGCTTGAATACTGAGTAGGAGTTGAAGTCTGAATGTACTGCAGTTGTCTGAAAGAAAATCAGCAAGAGCTAGTCCAGCAACTACAATGACAAGGGCATCTTGAAATGACTCCCTGTGGTCTCTACCTAGGCTGTGTTTATAACATGTTCAACCGGATCAGCTAAAGACCTAGAGGTCTCACTCACATTTCCAGCTAAGCTTGGTTAGTGTTAACCTCAGCCTGTTTATGTGGGTGTGGGGTGTTGTATGAACACAACCCATTTAGTTAGATTATGATTTACTATATTTCCAAATCTCAGAAAATTAATTAATTCAGAGCCAGGTTAAGCATGCTGGGTGAACACAGAGTCCTAAGTGAGAGTGACCTGAAGAAAGGAAGAAAATATGAAGCATTTCCCTTAAATATATTAGTTTATAATGAAGGGAATAATTTCTTTGTGCCACATCATTATGTCGTGATTCAATTCAGAGTATCATGGAAAAGGCACAGGATAAATTAAGGGAGAACAAGCTAAGAGGAAATACTGTAGAGTGTATAAATTCTAAGGTTTTCCCACCAAATACAAGTAATATTTTAGACTTAGCACAGTAAGTATGAATTTAGTAACAGAAGACTGCTTATCCAAAAAAATGTAATGTCCATCAATTCATATATTTCAACAACAGGTTGTTAGAAATAAAGGTGTAAATTCTGGGATATGATAGAAATTCAGATTCTGGGAAAAAAAGTAATCAGAAAATCAATTTCATTATTAAAAGACTGACATAGGGATTTGGAATTAAGCATATTTAAATGTTAGCTCTTTACATCTAATAGGTTTCTCACAGCTGTTCCAGCTCTAGTTTTCATGCAGTTTTCCCCTGATACTCAGGTAATTTTGTTTACCGGTTTAATTAACTTGAGGACGAGAGCGGGAATCCCAATGGATAAGCATATTAAAAGGTGGCAGGAGAATTTAAAATACAATTGATGTTAAGTTCTAATATAATGGAAAACCATCCAAAGGACTCCATCTTTTCTTCAGTTCTGTTTTGCTCCATGCATTATCAAGTTCTTACTTCCTAGGCCATTTCTGAAGACCAAAAGCTGGGACTAAGGAAAACCACTCTAAACCCAAGAGCTATGATATTCAGCCAAATGTTCTTTTTAACTTGGTAGTCATTAACAGGACACACATCCACACCCCTGCATTCTGTGTTAAGCGGTCTCTTTTTATCATCCTGTTCATTAAATGACTTGATCCTCACTTCATGCATGAGGGTGTCATAACAGTGAAAGGTGTGTGGAAGGGGAAAAGTAACAGTCAGTTACTACTTTAGTGCCTTGGTTATCAGTATGCCAGGCCAATCAGAAGCTGAACAGCTGGTATAGCATATACTACACTGGCTTAATTTTAACTCTGTTGGTGTAGCTCAGCACATTGGGCAACTCCACCCATTTGGTTAACTTGCAGTGTGATGAGTTATACAGACTCAGAAAATGGATTAATTTGGGAGCCAGGTTCAGGTGTTGCGTGAATGCAGCTATACTATGATCTGGATTAGCTATTGTTCTGGAAATTAAAGCACAGTGATTCACATACAGTTCATGGACATAAGCCTCCAAAAATTAGATTGGGATAAGCTCACAATTTGATTTTGGGAAGGAATTTCATAAGGATTTGGACTACCTGAATGATGACCCTTAGCTTTTTTTTCTTCCTTCCCCCAGTCCATAAATGCATGCAGGATAAACCTTATTCCTAATGTGGCTTCCAGAAATTGGAAGCAAAATAGTGTTGAGGAGAAAGTGGCTCTCCTCTTGCATACTGTTTAGTTCCTTAGGAAAATGGACATGAAAAAAGGGAGTTGATGCAGAAGAGGATGATATAAATTAAGACTTTAATTCAATGTTTCCATGGTATCTTACTGCTTATTGATAAATGACATTGCTCTATGGTATTTGGATTGTGCAAGGAGTGAGGAAAATTGCAATGATTTTTTAAAATCTCTCACTCTTGTATGAAGGATGTTTCTTTAGCAATATTTTACTCAAGAAAAAAATTAAACAAAACCATAACAGTTTAAAATTGGGCCACAGTTTAAACAATTGAATCCTATGGCCCACATTTCTTGGAGCTGGAGGATTTTTTTTTCTCAGAAAGGCAACACGTACCAAAAATAATGTATTTCAAAGTACTGGGGGGGGGGGGGGGAATCAGCATTATTTGGCAAATATTCCAATTTACAAGTGTAATTACACATTGCATTGTTATCAGTAATCACATCCTTCCTTCTCTGAGTTCAGGCTGGCATATATGGATTTATTGTCCCAAGACTGAGACCACTATCTATTAAACTTCATAGCTAAGGAGACACTCCCTCCAGGCCTCCAACATTGTATTGCAGTACAGAAAAACCATGCTGGATCTGATGCCCTCTAGATACAGTACTGTGCAAAAGTTTTAGG